AATAGAATGCTGCAACTAACTCTGCGCTGGTGTGTGTGCAGCCCAGAATAGCAATGGGCTTTCTCAAGGCAAACAGAACTCCCCAGGTGTTAATGCAAATTCACTCGCTTAAGATGAAAGAGGGTTGTTTCCCCCTTCGCTGGTTAATATGAAGGACTTAATAGATTCAGCCTAGGGAACTGGGGATCTCAGCTTGGGAGCTGCAGGCTGGGAAGAGGGAGGAGGGGAGGGATGGGCATGGTCCCCCGTGGATTTCAAAGCAGAGCAACTGTCACAGCAGGCCAGGCTGAGGACTCAGCTCTTGCCACCCCACCCTCCATCCTGACTGTCAGGACCTGGAACTCAAGAGGCAGAGCACTGGGAAGTCTGGGGTGGCCATGCTAACCTCCTGTCTCAGGGCCTCCCAAGCTGTGCCAAAGAATGTAGGGCTAGGAGGGAATGTGGGGTGAGGCCAAGCTGGCTGGGTTTAGTCCATCTCCACCATTCCTCTTTTATTTCCCCAAATGGTGACACTCTTGACAGAGCCTAGGAAAACCAGGCTGTGACACTGAAGCTTAGGGGATCCCAGAATTCTTTTTTAAAAGTTGCTATTATTTAATATTTTTTTTTCTTATTTTACATATCGATCCCAGTTCCCTCTCCCTCTCCCCCTCCCACACCCTCCACCAACCCCCATCCACTCCCCTGGGAGGTTGAGGCCTTTCATGAGGGATCATCAATATTTATCAAGTCATTTGGGGTAGGGTCTAGGCCCTCCCCCGAGTCTCTAGGCTAAAGGAGTATCCCACCACGGGAAAGGGACTCCTGAAGTCCTTTCGTGCACCAGGGGATACATCCTGGTTCCACTGTCAGAGGGTTCCCAGAATTCTTATGCAAATGTGGCCTGTACAGCTAAGGCTCAGGAGCCCAGAGAGGAGACCAGGAGCTGGAGGGGTGACAGCTCTGCCTGCAGCAGCTCCTCAGGATTTTCTCGGGCTCTGCTCTCAGCCTGTAGACCCTCGGGCCTGGACTAAGCCACACAGCCCAGAGCATCAAACTTTTCACACAGGCTTCCCAGGCTACCACTCTCCACTGAAAACTACTCCCTCATCAGGACCTCCAGCCAGCGAGGAAAGGGCTTAGCTCCCATAGGTGAGTGCCAGGAGCTCTAGAGGGGTATCAGCTGGTGATAGAGAAACTTGGAACAAGCCAAGCTGTGCTGACCCAGTGTTAGAATTTAGTTAGAATTTAACTCTAGTCTCTGGGGCACAGCAGGTACCTGTCACAAGACACCTCCACAGCCGCTCTTGCTTTTGTTTACTGACTTAATTCCTTCAGATCAAAGGCTGCCCCTTCCTCCCCAATGGGGGGTGGGTAGGGAATTACATTATTTATATTAGAAATGGGCAAGGCTCTGTGGGGACTACTCCCTTATGCCTGATAAGAGAAAATTAGGTCATTGCCATATCTTTTTACTGTCTGCTGCATGATCCTTTCAACCTAGGTGCCTTGGAGAGGGCGAGAGCACTGTATGCAGAGCTGACCGTGGTCCATCCACAGCCTCCTGTAATCTCCAGTAAATTATTGACCCAAGTGGAGAGTATTAATGTGGCACAATAACATCCTTCCCGGGCAGCCCCAGGCTGGGCTATCTATCATCTCGTGGGCTCTGCAGCTGGCACTGGGCAAACACTGTAGACAAAGAGACCAGATGCAAGGTCATTAAGCTCCAGGTGCAGGGGGTGAGGTGGGGGCCACATGGGGCAGTGGGTACGCCTGGTGCCTCTGGCTGTGACTTCCTTTGGGTCATTCTAGTCCTTTTCTCTGTGTCCTTCTACCTCAGCCCTCCAGAAGGCACTATTCAGAGGAAGCCAGCACCCTGGAGTGGCCATATGTCTAGGTCCTTTGCTTAGGGCCTCCTAGGCATCCTTACGTTAATCTCTATAAAACCCTTTAAAAGTCCCATTGACAGCATCCAAACATGAAAGCACTTGCCTAGGTTGGAATGGCTAGTTAGTGGCTGAGCAGGTGTGGGACCCAGGCTTAGATAGACAATTCAAGAAAGGCTTTGAGTCCCTCTGCTAGGACAAAACTTGTCCCCAGTGCCCAGATACTGGTGATAAAGAAGATTCCAGATGCAAAAGGCACATGCTTGCTGGCTGTCTCAGCACTTGGGAGATGAGGTGGAAGGGTTTCCTTGAGTTCAAGGCCACCCTGGGATAGAGGAAGAGCCTGTCTAAAAATAAAAGCATTCTGTTCCTTATGCTCTTCCTGCTCTTACATGCCCATAGCACATTTTCCTGAGAAATTGGAATACTTAAAAATTTTTTTTTCTTTTTGGTTTTTTGACACTCTGTAGACCAGGATGGCCTTGAACTCACAGAGATCTGATGCCTGAGTGCTGGGATTAAAGGTGTGTGCCACTTGTGCCTGGCATTTACATTTTATTATTGTCTTGGAATACTTAACTTTTTTTAATTACATGTATTTATTGGGGGATGGCATGCTGTGGTGCTTGGGTAGAGGTCAGAGAACAATTTGTGGGAGTTGGTTCTATCCTTCCAATATCTCGTGGGTCCTGCGATAGAATTGAACATCAAGTGTCTTAATGGTAAGCCCTCTTGTGGATTTGGAGTACTTTTTGTTTTCATTCTTTATTTGCCTGAGGCCCCAAGAAGTATCACCGTCAACCACTTTTCCCTAGGGTGGGCAGAGCTGGTAAGCGGAGGCTGGGGTTTGGGGGTTTTATGGCTCCCACCTCAAAGCTCTCAGGCGGCCCTGAAGTCTACCTGGCAGCAGCAGGCGAGGTGCTATTCTGGGGTCACCACCCCAGAAAGAAATGGGCATCCAGTGGAAACAAGCAGGAACCAGCGGGGTCCTCTCTGAGCCAGATAGAGACCTTGCTGCGCTGATAAACGGTCCCATAATTTGCTACCTCTGCCCTGCCACCACGCTGATGGCTGAAGGAGCTTTCTCCCTACAGGGCTGGGACTGCAGCCTCGGGATCCTGCCGTAATGCAGTAATGACAGGCTGCCAGGGAGCCCCACACAGCAGGGAGGGGCGGGGGGAGAGCCCTAGTGCTGGAGAGGATGTCGGGCTGTCTGCAGGGAGACAAGAGCTGAAGGCAGCGACTTTCTCTTCTCCAGACTGCAAGGGATTGGCTCAGACAAGGTTGCACCAATTTTCTGCCAGAACCTTCTGCCCTTCTAGACTTGGGCTTCATTACACGTGGGCGACTCCTAATCTGATCTTCCCCATGAAGGCTTCTGGGACACGCAGCACTAGGGAACAGCTGCCAGGCACTCTGCACTCAGGTACAAGGCAGAGGAGGCAGTGCTGGCAGGGAGGCCATAAGGACCGCAGTGGACACCATGGCACTGGGCTGGGAATACCACAATGAACAGTACCAAGGTCTATGGTGCCCGGAGTTGACATCATAGTTCAGAACAAATGAAAACACTAGAACTCCGGCACTCTGTTCCACACCACGATACCAGGCAGAGCATGTCACTCCATGTCAGATGAAAACCTGTCATTCCAGCACTAGGGTGAGCAAGGCAGGACAGGAAGACGGGGGTGGGGGTGGGGGGGTGGGGGGGACAGCCTGGACTACATAGTGTTTCAAAATAATAGAACTACCACCAAATACTGTCAGCTCCAGCTCTGCTTGACGAGATGTTAGATTGTCCATATGAGTGCTTCAGGCTATTGGGTCAGGTAAAAATATGGCTTAAAATGGCTTAACATATACAGAGCAATTTTTCTGCTTTCACTGTCCAGGAAGTCAGTTATTAGAACAAACATTCTATACTTAGGAAGCTTGTATTTAAATTGATCCAGTATAAAAGAGCATGCCTGAAGGCCTGGGTATGACCCTCAGCACCACATAAATCAAGGGTGCTATTGCATGACTATAGTCCTAGCACTAGGGGTGGGAGGGTGAAACAGGCAGACAGGAGTTCAAGGTCATCTTCAGCTGTGTGGTGAAACTCAGGGTAGCTTGGGCCACATGAGTCATCTCAAAACAAAACAAAAAACCCAAAAAAAAAAAAAAAAAAAAAAAAAAAAAAAACACCCCACCAACACCAACGCACACACACACACACAATCTGTTTTGCAAGGCATAGTGGCACATACCTTTAACATTCAGGAAGCAGAGGCAGTTGAATCTCTGAGTTCGAGGACAGCCAGAACTACATAGTGAGATCCTGTGTCAAAAAACAGTGTGGTTTAAGCTGGATATGGTGGTGCACACCTTTAGTTCCAGCACTCAGGAGTCCAGACAGAAGGATCTCTGAGTTCAAGGCCAGCCTGGACTTAAACTCAAGTTCCTGGACAGCCAGGGCTACAAAGAGAAATCCTGTCTTGAAAAGCCCTCCCACAAAAAAAGCAAAAAGCAACCTCCAACCAGTATGGTCTAATCAGTTATGGACTCTATATTCCATATCAAAACATTGCCAAAACTTTGTAATTGTTATAACATCATTCCCAAATATATAAAATAGCATTTAACTCAGACCTGGGACATACGTATCCAGCCATGCACCATCATGCAGTGATGGAGACAGGTTCTGAAATGCAATGTTAGGTGATTTCATTGTCTCACACATCAGAGCGTTCTCACATACGGTCAGTCACTAGGTGATGCAGCCTATGGAGCCACTGGATGTGAGTTGATGCTAAAGATAGTATCACAAGGGAGTATGACTTAGTTTATTTTTGGAGAAAGGCTGGCTTCAGATCAAAATCCCCCTGCCTCAGTCTCCTGACAGCTATAATGGTGTGTGCCATGAAATATTTGTGTGCCGGTGTCCTGCCTGTATGCATGTGGGTCAGAAGAGCATTTGTTCCAGAGGTTCAGTTCCCAGCAACCATGAGGTGACACGCAAACATCCACAACTCCAGTTCCAGACCTGCCGTCTTCCGACCTCAGTGGGTAACAGACACTCGTGGTGTCCATGTATACATGCAAAGTGTACATTAAGACAAAAATAAAGCTAAAAACAAGACACCAGTGACAGACTCTTGCACTTAAGATTTTATTTAAACAATCACTTAAATTACAATCACCCCACCCCAAATAGAAAACAGCTTTATGTTCTGGGCCCAACAGGAGTGAGCAGTCAATAATGAGAGAACAGAGGAATGGAAGCCCATGGGCATTGCTCTGGCTTGGCCACAAGGCATCTGGGAGAGGTGGAGTCCAACCTCCCCCGCACCCCCCACAAAGGCTGCTTGCACCAAGGGTTTTGAGCCTCTGGCCCTGTTGGCAAGGACAGTTAGTCACTGCTGTTGGTTGTCAGCCTCTGGACTTTTCTGAAAGTGAGGGAGCAAGAGAAACCTGTCTACAAGATAAAACAGTAACTCAAGGAGTGTTATGTACATCCATGGGTGTTGTCCAGCAAGGCCTGGCTACTACATAAATAACTGAGCAGTCACCTCAGGTCAGAGTGCTGTGGCGGCTGAGGTATGACCTTAGTCAAGATATAGACTGGCCACAGGCCAACAGCAAGGCCTCAGTGTCCCGCACTGAGCAGTAACTCTTTCAGTATCATGGTACCTCTGCACAAGAGCCATGGCAGCTAGAAATGAAACAGTGAAGGCTGGGCCCGCTCCTTGGACTGCAGGGACATTTCCTCCTTGACTCTTCAGCTGCCTACAGAAAGGGCTCAGGCAGACTCGAGGGCACTGCTTTCAGCCCTCCTACGGGGCTGCAGATACTGAGGGCCCCAGCCTTCCTCTCCGGGGGAGCCGAGGTGCTCCTGACTGAGTGGGCTTCAGGTCCCACCTACCAGGCAATGGTCACACCTGCCACTGCTCAAATACCAGGGTTCCCATGTGGCCATATAGCTTGAAAATTTGAGACACATCAGTAGTTAAATTAAAAAACAAGGCCGGACGTAATTTTTATAAACCAGCATCATGGGCCTGTGTCCACAACCATTGTCAAAGATTCAATTTACAGAGAGGAAGAAAGCCAGGCATGTGTTTCAGGCCCGAGAAGACAGCTCGACAACAGAGTCAGGTTCCAGACTAGAGTCCTAACCCAGGTGTCCAAGGAGGCTGGGGTAACCCTCAGGGGTGGCTAACTATGGCGAAGTGGCCACACGAGCAGCCAGTCAGTGGGAACAAGGTAGAGTGCCTCAGTTTCTCAAAATCAAATGGTACTATGGAGCATTTCTTTGCTCCCAGTCCCTCAACCCCACTCTTCAGTTAATGCACATCTTCTCATGGATTGAGACATACCACCTGCTCTGTTAGTGACACCCATTATGCAGGTAGAGCCACATGGTATGCATCTGATGCCCAGCATGGAGGCAACCCATAGGGTTCACCTGTGAGACTGCTGAACTGTGAGTGGACACCTATGTCAGGCTAGCGAAAGAAGGATCCTCAGGGAAGACCACGAGGCCTAGGTGTTAGAGAGCTGTGAAGAATATGTTGGGATAGGCAGCCGGGCTCTGGGATTCCATGTGCTGAGTGGGATAATGGAGGCCCTTGTCGCAGCCCAGGCACTGATGGGGATGTGACCAGGAAGCCCCTGGCAGACCACAGGCAAGCATGGAGCCTGAAGGAAGTCCTGTACACACTATCCTCTCAGAGCCCGCATGGGCTCCACTCGCCTCCCAGCCCTTCAGCCTCTCATCACAGCTCCCATCCTCTGATGCTTCCTGCCATCAGACAGCTACAACACTGTCTCAGGGGAGGAGCCTGGCCGAGGAACCGTCATTGCCGGCTCTAAGCTCAGCCTGGCCATGCTTCTGCACCGTGTCCGGTCCTCATTGTGGAGGAGAGGCATATCTCAGAACCCCTGTGGGGGAGCGGGTAGCACCAGCATGGTAGATTTTAGGCAGCCTCCACACTGGATTCCTAAAGCCACTTCCCAAACCAGGTTCTGGAGTGAGCAGCAGGCACTTGGACACCTGCATCACAGTGCCTAGGACGCAGGAAGGATGGCAGCCATGCACAACAACAAATACTTCTCAAAAAAAAAAAAAAAAAACCAACAACAAAAAAAACCCAAAACAAAACAAAAAACACAAAGAAAAGAAAGATGCAGGCAGAGCTAGACACCTCGAGAGCTCTCTACAGGGCCAGAGTTCAAAACCAACTGCACATGAAGGGAACTGGGCCCTCTATTCAGAATTCCCAAATAAGCCAGTCCCCTACTGATGGCTCCCACGGGGCCAGGGCCATCCGGTCGCTGTCAGGGGCAGAAGTGGCAGATCCTGAGGTGGCTGGGTCACTGCTAGAGTTCTTCAAAGAAGGCCACTCGGGACTTGGCGCTCTGCAGAGTGAGCTGTAAGAAAGGAGAGAGAGGCTGAAAGGGGACAACCTCAAAGGTACAGTGACAGGAAGTGTGGTCAAGACACTGATGGTCAAGCCCGGATAAGGGTCCAGACTGAGCCCCGGGTTCAAATGTGGAATGACAAATGACAAGCCAGAAAGGGTGGCTGGTGGGCAGACCCATCGCAGAGGGTACGCCCATCGCAGAGCTTTCCCCAGAGGAGGGAGTCTAGTTTGTGATTCTCGTGTTCTTTGGCTTTGAATGCCAGCTCCCGTCCTGTGCCGTGGAGTACACCAGCTTCTTTGGGCTGAGGTCCAGGCTGGCACCACAAGCCTTTCAGTTCTTACATGTAGAATCTCCTTCTCTGCAGGACAGGAGTACTGGGCAGTGCCTGGCAGGCCACCCCTACCTCTCAGGATACCACCCAGGAAAATGGAGAAGGGGAGCAGAGGCAGATATGCCTTCCCAAGTCCCCGACTCTGGGGCTGCCTCCCAGCCTCTCCCCAGACAGAAGCATCTGGCATAGGCATCTATTTCCTGCTACTCCTGAAAACGGAGCCCTGGGGGCAAGACTATGTTTTTAATGCAGCCCCAGAGTTTCCCAGTCAGCAACTGCACACTGTCCATCTCCATCCCCCAAACGTTTACCTTAGAGCTTGGCTCTGAGCGGGAGAATAGACTGAATGGATGGAATGGGATATGGGCCACAATTCTAACTAAAAGGGAGACACGGGGCTGACTGTTTCTATTCCAGATCACTGTGTGGCCTCAGTGAACACCCTGGACATCTCTGAACCCCATGCCTCTGGAGGTAAGCCATGGGGCAGGCTAGCTGGTCTGGTCCTTCCCTGGGCCCAGGGTAGTCAGTCTCAGCCTGAAGAATCCACTGTACTCACCAAAGCTCTACAAAGGGCAGGAGAGGGAGACTGTGAACCCACCTCACCATCAAAAGACAGGCAGCATTAGTGTGCTCAAAATGAGACAGCTTGAGAGCCGACTCTTCAAATCCTGCCAAATCTTTTGGCCTTGAAGTTCCCGACTAACAAGCTGGATGCAAGGAGGCATCTGAGCTGTTTTCTTCAGCAGAACCAATTCCAGAAGCTCTGTGGAAGCCCAGTTCTGCCAGGAATGGAGAGGGCTTTTCTTTGCTGAGGCAAACACCCTCCAGACGGGAACTGCATTTGGCTAGGTTTTTTCCACAGTGCCAGCAGAGGGGACAGTGTGCATGAGTCCTGTGATAATAGGGACCAGGGCGGTAAAGGAGAGGATGGTGCCAGAGATCTAGGACAAAAATCCTCTCCAGGGAAGGCTTATATCAAAAGGTGTCCCCACACTTCTGGGACAACCTCAGGAGTTTTCTGGGAATAAGGAGCCTGCAGGCAGGGATAGGACACACCCACAGCCACTTCCAGTGAAATCTAAGCGCAGCGAGACCTAAGAACTGTCTGTGCAGTGACCAGGTCACAAACCTATTGGCGTCAGTTTCCCCACAGTGATACAGGGTAATGCAGGAAACACTCAGCATCCGCCTGGCCCATACTAAGAACTCATCAGATGTCATTCCCAACTGTGCCATCATACCCCTTCTAGGGGAAGCAGATCGGAGCAGAGCCCTGGTTAGATCAGATGCAGGCAGAAGGGCCATGAACTGTGCCAGCCTCTGAGCCAGGACAGACACTGCCCAGAGAGACCTGACTACTTCTCCAGGCATGACACCCGGGCTGTGGGGGCCTCTGAAAGTCTCTTGCCTGTTTCCACAATGTTGGCTCTAAGAATTCCTGGATCCACTACCCAAGCACGCTGGCTGTCCCCTCAAGGTGCTTGGGGAGGGTTTTGGCAGCATCCGATTCTAGGTACTCCAGCTTGTACTTGTTAGGATGCAAAGCTCTCTTCTCGGGATTTGCTCCTCCCTGATTCCCACCAGTGCCTCTGCAGGATAGATGACCTGTCTCTTACCAGAAGGGTCTGCCCTTAGTACAGAGGAAAGTATGAGTGCGCCAGGTGGGCAGAAAGCACAGCCAGCACTGCAGTGGCGTGCAGATGAGTGGCTTTTCAGGGGCTCCAGGCTGATAAGTCCCCCTTACAGGGTAGCTGAGAGCCTCCTGTGGTCAGCGCCCAGATCAGAGGGAGGCCTGACTGCTACTACCCCACCCTCTACCCTTTCTATACAGAGTTCCTGGCACTTCTAATTCCATCAAGAAAGCCAAAGTCTGAGGAATTTATAGCGTGTGCTCACTTCCCACTGCTGGAATGCTTCCAGGGGCCACCTCAGACTGCTTCTCCCTCAGCAGTATCCTTCATCTTAAGACATCAAATGCCCTCCTCCTGGCAGGACCGGAGGGCAGAGCTTATGCAGGAAGGGGGGCAGTGATTCAATGATGTTCCGGGAGAAGCCCTGAGCCTCTCTCTCTCTTTAGTATGCACTCAAGGCACCCATGAAGGAGGCATTCCAGAGCCAAGAAGCCCTTTTTGGGGGCACTGCCGCCTGTTTCTATGGACTGTGCTCCTGGTTAGGCACTCTGTGGGTAAGCTACCGCATGCCGCCTGCTCTCTGTGACACAGGCGGGGATCATCCTAGAAAGTGGGTTACCATACTACAAGCAGGAGGTGTTCATGAGAGGAAAAGCTCAGGCTCTGAGGAAATGGACATTAAGTCCTTCATAAAACCAGCCAACAGGGCCTGGAGTAATGGCTCAGAGGTTAAGAGCACTGGCTGTTCTTCCAAAGGACCCAAGTTCAATTCCCAGCAACCACATGGTGGCTCACAACCACCTGTAATGAGAACAGGTGCCCTCTTCCGACCTGCAGGCAGAACACTGTATGCATAATTAATAAATCTTAAAAAACAAAACAAACAAAAACAGCCAACAAACTTCCTGGGTTTTTGTGAGACTCTCACATCCAAAAGTCCATGGCAACTGTTGTTCAGTGATAGGATTGGATCTCTATGCGCAGCACAGTAACATCTCTGCTTGTAAGAGCCAGAGAGTGCCATAGAGACCCTACTAAGATTCCAGCCTCAGAAGGGCAAGGTGGCGCAGAGGCCTCTGAGTTTGAGGCCAGCCTGGCTACAGAGAGACAGTTCCAGGACAGCCAGGACCACAAAGAGAAACCCTATCTTGAAAAAACAAAACAAACAAACAAACAAACAAAGGTTCTAGCCTTATTTCCTTTCACAGGAGCCTCATATCATGTCACACTGAGGTGACAGTGAACCCACCTGAGCCCAGCCACAATGTTCATATGCACTCTTTGGCTGTGGAGTAGGGTGCAGAATCCCAGCTACAGTGTTCACATATGCTTTCGGCCGTGGAGGTGCATCCCTTCAATGTGGGCTGCAGATTCCCCACTGCAGAGTTCAGTATGTATCCTTTGGCTGTGGAGGCAGGCCTCTTGAATGTGGGGTAAAGGCTCCGCTCATACCACTAAGATATCTGGGAGACTGTCTGGGCAAGGCGAATTCTGTTTAATCAGGCGGTAAAACCAAGAAGCTCAGGACATGGCTAGGCCACCAGGTCCAGTGCTGCATGCTGGGACCTGCTTTCTGAACAAGCTAGCTGAGCTCATGCAGACCAGTGACCATTCTGCTAAGCCTAGTCCTTTAAAACTAACACTAGCTCCAGACAAGGTCAATCAGTCATCTGGACATCAGACTCTGCTCCTCCAGGAAGGCTGGAAACCTGGAGGAACCAGCTCCCTGAAGATAGCGCCTCCTCTCCAAGCACTAGGCTGACCTGCTCTTTTTAGCTGTCTTCGAATCTGATTGGAATCAGCCCTGCGAATACAGAACAAATTAAGTTCTTTCCTGACAGACCCCCCCCCCCTTCCCCTCCATTAGCCTGACACTAAACCAATTCCAATCTGAAGAGACCAACTTCCTTTTCTTTCTCTGTGGCAGATTCTATGTGTCTTTGTTTCTTATCATATGGGCCCTGATCTTCCTTCCCACTTCAGCACTCAGACAGAACCTGGAAGAAGCACCTTTCTTCCTACCCACCACATTACCAGGCTGTGGAAAGGGAACCACTTAGCAAAAGCAAGGTCCCTCTGTGTTATGTGACAAAAATGGACAAATCACAAGTCTGGATTTGGGAGACACACAGGAATGCCAAGCATGGTGGGCAGACCTGTAATCCCAGCACTTGGGAGGCAGAGGTCAGGCCAGCCAGAGCTACACAGCAAGACCCTATTTCAAATACCAAACCAAACCCAAACAAATGAACAAAAGACAAGAGACACACTGGCACATGCCTGTAATTCAGGAGGCCGAGACAGGGGCATTCTAAATAGTAAGTTCAAGGCTAGCCTGGATAACATAGATCCTGTCCTAAAAAACAATACAAAGGAAGAAAAAACAAAAACAAAAAAAAAAAACAAAAAAACCCCAAAAAACAAAACCCAAAACCTCTGGCTGGATATACTGGTGTTAACTTTTAAATATCAGCACTAAGGAGGCAGAGGAAGGGGAACATCTGAGTTTGAGGCCACCCTGGGTTACATAGTGAGTTCCAGACCAGTCAAGGTTACATACATACAAAGACCCTGTCTCAAACAAAACAAAAGTCTCCTGTTCACCTTATGATAGGAACTTCATCAAGATGCTCCTGAGAAACAGCTCTAGGGCTGGCAGACACCAAACCTGGAAGGTATCTGTAACCAGAGTTGCCCTGCTGATGGACTAGGAGGGAGGAGTCTAACTACTAAGGTCCTTCCAACATCGACTCCAAGAGCACCGCCTGATGGAAACCCACTATGAGAAGGCAAACTGCCAACTCTGACCACCTCTCCTCTAAAAGTCCTTTTGGGGACCATTTTCCAGAGTGACAGACGGGTAACAAAATGTATTCCAGCATGAAGCCTGCAGCAGCAAGGCTGCTTGATTAAGAATGAATTACACTTTCATCAGCACAGAAAGAAAATTGATTCACAAGGCTGCATTGTGACAATCTTGTACTAACGCAAAAGGGAGTAGAGAGGCAGCCAGGACAGAGGCACTTTGGTTATCAGTGGGG